TTTTCTGATTGGTTGCAGAGTGTCGTACGACGAAAATCGGATGCAGTGTGAATTCAGCAATAGAATCGAGTATTGGAACGCACCCCAAGAGGTCCAAGTTTCATTCGAATTCGCCATTACTACTGCGCACTGCTGCGCACACACATTTTTCGGAACGCTTCTCCCTTTTAACCTACTATATGAATGTGTATGTTATATATGTCATTATTTAAGGTGGACTTTAAACGGGAGTGATTTAATTCTGCCTTATCATTCTAGGCATTTTCTCTTTTTTACAGAGACGGTCGGAAGTGTGAAAGTTGACTTGAGCGTTACGTGTGCGATTTACAACGTTTGAACATTTTACAGTGAATATCCTTCGCAGAGAAAAATGAAGGAACTGCGCTTCGATGGTCAAGTGGTTGTGGTAACAGGAGCAGGTGCAGGTAAATATTCCCTTTTTTTTTTTACTTTAAAAAATTTATTTTCACATTTTTATCACACTTTTTATCACACCTTTCCAACTAGCATCATACGCAGAAACAGAAACAAATCATTTGATTACATTATACGGTAATATTGAAAGAGACAGTTTTTCTCACTGATTTGACTCAAACTTTATAATATTATGTATTTTACGTTAAAAATGAATATAAAATTAAAAATCGTCAAGCAGGTAAAACGTTGCTGCCAGTAATAAATAATCATTACATATCTCTTTTTATTACAATGCACTTTAATATCTAATTTCTCCGTGTTCTTTTTAATTGGAAGTTTTTAATATGATAGACGGAGAAAGGGACTTCTTGAATTTCGTCTCCCCCTTCCCTCCCTCCCCCCTTTGTGGCTGTGACAGGTTTCTTAATAAGTCTGTTCATGTTGCTTGAAATCTTCAAACATTTTTGAACTTAAAATGAGATAGATATATATTGGGCGTTGAAAAGAAAAAAAGCGAAGATGCTGAATGCAAAAAGTGCAAGCAACGCGACAGACCTAATCTCTCATACATGTTATGTTTGACGATTTTTTCTTTCATATTTGTTTTCTACGTACTAAAATGCATAATATTACAAAATTTGAGCTAAATCGGTAAGGAAGATCATTTTTATCAAATATAATTTATAATTATTTTATAGTTAATACTTGTTTATCAATTATAAACTAGAAAGATTCAATAGAATTTTTATAATGTAATAAGAATAAAGTTCTATTTAGAAGAAAGTTATTTTTTTATGAAAAATCAATAAAAAAAAATGTATAAATAATGTTTTTTTATTTGTTACATTTTGACTTATAATTGAAAGTAATTTGCATTTACTTGAATAATATAGATTAGCTGTTATCATATTGAAGATAATATTCTTTATATGCAATGTACAAATAATTTTCAGGATTGGGACGTACCTATGCATTGCTGTTTGCATCCAGAGGTGCCAGCGTAGTTGTAAATGATTTAGGAGGCAACAGACATGGAGATGGAAGCAGCACCAAGAGTGCGGATGCTGTGGTTGAGGAAATTCAACGAAATGGTTAATATTTTAATATGATATTTTTTACGTCATCTTTTTAGCTTATTAATACAAAATTTCTGATCTGGGTATCAATTACGTAACCTTTTTTTTAATGTAGAAATATCAAAGGTGAAAGTTTTTTGTATGTATTTGTGTGTATATATGTATATATGTATGTATACACATACATACAAAAAATTTTTATTTTTTTGTTTCCACTCTAAGAAAAAAGTTACACATTGACCCCATGATATATATAATATATAAATTTAAAACCTTTTTTTTTAAACAAGTACATGTTTTTTTCATCTAAAGTTTTTCTAATCTTCTGTGCAAGTATTTAAGATTTATCTCTTATATTTAATTCTGCATTATACGTAAGGATAATTAAATGATAAACACATGATAATAATCTTTTAGGAGGCAAAGCTGTCGCGAATTATGATTCTGTGTTAGATGGTGAAAGAATCATTAAAACTGCAATTGATTCATTCGGCCGCATCGATGTAGTTGTTAATAACGCTGGTATTCTGCGAGATGTATCGTTTGCAAAAATGACGGAAGATAAGTGGGGTATGTATATGAAATAAAATACAATATTAACTATTTCCTTGTTTGGTACTGCGATTTTCAGAATGCCTCGTATGAATCTATATATGTATATCCATATGATTTCTTTCAGACATCATACATAATGTACATTTGAAAGGTGCAATGAAAACGACACAAGCAGCATGGCCATACTTTATTAAGCAGAAGTATGGCCGTGTAATTTTTACATCGAGCAACAGTGGCTTATATGGAAACTTCGGTCAATCCAATTACAGTTCGGCAAAACTTGGTCTTGTAGGATTAGCTAATACACTAGCCATTGAAGGCGCAAAGAAGAATATTTATACCAACGTAATAGTACCCACAGCTGGCTCGCGTTTAACGGAAGATATTATGCCACCAGGTAAATTGTCTGTAACATCTATTTTGTAATAATCCTTATAAAGCTATGAGATTTTATTCCTTAAGTTTTATAAATTAAAATATGAAATTATGCTTTTAGTCTTATCAATTGTAATATCTAATTCTTAATCTTGATAGCAGATTGATAAGTAAAATTACTTGTTAAAAAATATTTTACTACATTTCGTGTTCAATAAAGAAGTTACAAGAAAATTACAAAAGCGAGCGAATTTACTAATTCAATCACCTCGTTTCAAGATACAGAATCAGCTCTCTGATATATATATATACATATGCAAACACATTTTGCTAAAAAAAAAAAAAAAATTGAAATATTAATTGATATTTTGCAGATTTCTTTGAGCAGTTGAAGCCTGAATTGATAGCACCCGTTGTCTTTTGGCTGTGTCACAAAGATTGTACAGAAAATGGTTCGATAATTGAAGCGGCATTAGGCTGGGCTGGCAAATGTAAGTATTAATAATATTTGCTTACCCATACCTGTTAATATTTGTAAAGAAGATACAATTTTTAACAAATAATTATTTTCGAAATTTCATGTTGTTTAAAATAAGCAGTTATTTACCTCATATTCTTATAAATTTTTTCATTTTTTTGATTGAAATAAGTATAGAGATATTACAAAAATGGATATAAAAGATGCCACGTTTGAATTTATAGGTCACATAATTCGCTCTTCGGGTTGTGCCTTACGACAAAATTTATCGGTTGACGTTACACCGGAAACAGTAAGAGAAAATTGGTCAAAAGTAACAGACATGGCATCGGCAAAGCGACTCAATTCGATTCAGGTAAAAAAGTAAATACCCATGTACATTGAACTTGACATTTCTTATCCTATAATCTCTGTTTAGGAAGCAACTGCAGAATTATTTGGCGTTCTCGAGGGAACGAAAAGTGGTGTTTCTTCAAATGAAGTAAGTTATGTATTTGTAAATCTTCTTTGTGGATCACAGAGTTCATTTTTGTATCATTTTCGTTGTTTATAGGTAGATCATATCTTAAAGAATGATTATAACTTCCGTGACATTATACTGTATGCGCTCGGAGGTACGTTAAGCAGACTGAATATATAACAGATTCATGAACTTACGTAATTTAATGTAAATTTCGGGTTTTGTACTTCAGTTGGTGCTACAGTTCAAGAACCAAATGATATTCGTTATTTGTATGAGAATGCTGACGAGTTTGCGATTTTACCCACCTACTTCGTTTTGTATGGACCTATGGGCTGCATGAGCTCTTCTATCGTGCAAGATGCTGTTCCGTTTATACTTGATCCAACACAAGTATGACTAAGGTTTTTTTTAACCATTGCGTTATTTTATTTGATGTTTTCAAATTTATTTTGCATTGATATTTGCAGATACTTCATGGCGAGCAATACCTAGAAATTCATAAACGATTACCTACGGAAGCTACAGTGGAGACGCGCTTTAAAATTCAGGATGTCTTGGATAAGGGAAAAGGCACCGTTGTTTTAGTCCAACGTATGTAAATTTTATAATTTATATGAAACATTATTGGATCGTCACAATTAATGTACATATTTAACAAGTAACATTTATGATACGAGTACAGTGTTAATGAGTAATCTCATTAATGTAAAATATTTGTAACTTGGATTTGTAATAATCGTGAAAGATGTGTGCAATAATGCATAAGCTTAGTCTACATAAATGCTATACATATGTAACATTTCGTGTTTCTCTAGATGATACTTACGATGTAGCAACCGGTGAAAAATTATCGAGTGGGCAGATTTCTACATTTATCGTTGGTTCAGGTGGTTTTAAAGGAAAACGAACATCGACATTTGCCATTCCGACTGTAGATCCTCCCACTCGAAAACCAGATATAACAGTTAAACAAAAGACTAGTGATGATCAGGTAAAAGAAAAGAATATACTTATTAGATATATATTTGTATCAAAAACTAGAATTTACGTTTTAAATAATACACTTAAAGAAATAAATAACATTAATAAACTTCAAAACTGGAACGCTATCTTAAAAAGTAATCTTGTTATCATGTTTACTTTTACAATCAAATAGGTCTTCAGTTTTTTACGTATTCATAAATGTAACGAAATATTCGAGTAAATTGTTTTAAATTTTGTATTTTGAATACATTAAATTATATGTATGATTTTGGTATCATCTTTACAGGCTGCTTTGTACAGATTGAGTGGAGATTTGAATCCTTTGCATATTGATCCTAATATCGCCATGATGGGAGGATTTAAAAAACCGATATTGCATGGACTATGCTCTCTGGGATTCTCTGCTCGTCATATTCTTCAGACTTATGCTGCTGGAGATCCACATCTGTTCAAATCCATTAAGGTATAATTATCTAATAAAAATATGGTATTCATAAAGTTTCAAGGTAAAATTCAAATTAACTTGATAATTCAAAATGAAAAAGATTTATTCGTTACAATATGACAATGTGCATGCATCAGAACGTTCACATTTTTACGTCGAAAATCTTGAAAATAAGAAAGAGAAATTATACTTTACATTATAGAGTCTACAATATGAAAAAGATATATTTTTACTGTTCTAAACAATACTGAGATTAACAGTACTTAAAATAAGTCATCTTTGTACATATGTATAAAAGATTTATATTTTTTTAATAGGAATAAGTATTGTCACAAACTAGATCTCTATCTCGAAATTCATATTCTCGTTTTAAAAATATTAAATTAAATTAAAATAAGATTTTTCATTTTTTATATGTTTACATGTGTGAAAACAAAATTATTGCAAGAAATTATTTGGTAAGCCTTGTTGTAAAACCTCGTGAACTTTGTACATTAATTATCATGGTAATATATATATATGCAATATGCACACTCATGATCTGCATTAAAACGATGTAGTATAAATAGCAGTTACAAACCGCAGTGAGTACGTAAAGCTTGGTGTAGCGGTGTTCAGTGATAAATATTCGAACCAAGAAACATTTGTGTTATTGCATTGACGTAAGTGTTAAATTCGAATAATTTATTAAGTGTTTTTCATCATAAAAGATAAATATATATGTTTAAAAAATGTAATAATATAATATGTCAAGGAAACAATAATAAATCAGAGAAATATTACGGTACATGGAAGAAAATCTTGCTATTTTGAATTTTGTTTTACTATAGTAGTTTATTGCAAAAAAATAGTTACAATTAATTAATTTGGTAGTTCAATTCATCAACAACAAATGCAATGAAACTTAGTAAATTCATGTAATCTGCAAAATTTTTTTATCTTGATCATATACTGTCAATTTTATATACATATATTGTTTATTTTGGCAACATCCATATTATCTATTTTGATTACATTATTTTAGTGAACTATAGACTCAGTGATCAGAGTTTACTCTGTAGTATCTATTTTACATGTAATCTTGTGTACGTAATCTAAGATCCACTTGATGTTACAAATGCTTCGAAGCATTTTTTGATTGGTCAGTTAGTAAAATTCTTTCTTCCGATTGGTCAAAAGCTTCGAAGCGTTTGTAGCGCCAAGTGAACCGCACCCTTTATTTGTGACAAGGAGGCATTTTAGTGACATTCTTTACGGACTTAATGTGATTAACATCTTTGTTTAATATAATATTCTAGGTAAGGTTTGCAAAACCAGTTATACCAGGTCAGACTCTACGTACTGATATGTGGCGCAACGGTAACAGGATACATTTCCAAACATCTATCCACGAGACTGGAGTACCAGTTATTACAGGTTAGTAATAACCGGTACTCCAGTTTAGTACAAAATTTTACATATAATATTATTTTATTTATTCTTTCGATAAATTTCTTTATTTTTAAAAGTAGCGAGATAAGAACAGATAATTTTACTTTGCAGGTGCTTACGTTGATCTGTTGGAGGTAAAAATGGGAATACCACGTGCAAATCCGTGTTCTGCAAAGACAAATCTGGACAGTGATGCTATATTCGCAGCTATGAGTGAACAAGTGAAACTGAATCAGGATCAAGCTAAAAAAGTTAATGCGGTCTTCCTTTACAATATTACCGTTGATGGGAAACAAACATCTGAATGGAGTAAGTAGCTTCAGAAAATTTTGATAATGTGTCTAAGAAACGGTGATATTTAGGCTGTATGTGCTCTATTAATTTATGGGACTAAAACGGAAATTTTTAATATCAATTAAACAAAATTTTTTTATTCGGCATAAATACAACGTATTTTAAACTTTTTAAAGTATCGTTCTGAAATCACTAGTGAGAATGGCAAGCATGCTCAAATTGTCTTTCGTATTAATTTTTTATGATCGTGTTCCAAAGTTCTTCGAAAGTTTAATAAATAACAAAAGAATGTTATTTGTGTGTGTCCTACATAAATAATATTTGCTTTTCTTGATAGCTCTCGATTTGAAAAATGGTGAGGTACATAAGGGAAAACCTAAATCTGGGAAAGCAGACGCAACACTTACTTTAGAAGATAAAGATATGGTTGAAATCGTAAGTTGGTCAAGTTAGTGTAAAAAATAAAGTTATTTTCTTTTCTAAACAATATCATGATTGTTGCAGGCATTGGGAAAATTAAATCCACAGTTGGCATTTATGCGTGGGAAATTAAAAATAACCGGAAATATTATGCTTACGCAAAAGTTAAAGAGTCTTATGGAAACTAACAAAGCAAAGTTGTGATTTTTTAATTTTGTTATCATAGTTCTATAAATAACGTAATTTACGTAATTAAGGAATGCAGTAAATTACGAATTTTTTAAAAATCCAATTGAAAGTATTTATATAGGCTGGGGATATTCTTATATTGTTATTATTTGTTCCAACAGAAACTTATACAAAATTTGTTATGTAGTCTGGGGAAAATCTTGATTTTATGATTTTATAAACTGTATTGTAATACATTTATAATAAAGTTATCAACTCTGAAGGATTTTGCTCATAATTTGCAAAAATGTATAGTTAAGTATGTAAAATGTATTCTACTCGTTATAGAATAAAAAGAGAAATAAGATTCATATTTTAAATACATAGATATAAAGATTTATATTAGATATATATAAAGATTTT